TGTTTACAACTGATACCTGTTGAGAAAGGGGAAACAAGTTTTCTACAATGGTGTGTCACATAAGCCGCACTCCAGGACAAATGACATGCTCAGGAATAATTTGGCTAACACAAAACAAATTCCATGTTTTCTGTAAATGAGTTCGTGTGTGTGTCTGTGTGTGTGTGTGTGTGTGTGTGTGTGTGTGTGTGTATTACTGGCTTTCATTGCTTGTTTTGTTCTTGTGTTTTTTATTTATGTATTTATTGAGAACATCAAGGAGGGTGGGCAGGGAGGTGAGAAAGTTATGGGAAAAGATGGGGGAGTGGTCACTACAAGTTACCTCATAGGCCTATTCAAAGCAATTACTTTTGTTTTCAAAAGTAAAATGGCTTGCAAAATTATTGCAACATGGACAGAAGAGTATACAAATATCACATAATTTGAGGTAAATTATTTAGCAGATCACTCATTAGCTCTGCTGCAATAAGCAGTGTAAATTTTTTTTTCTTGATGTGCTTGAAGATGTCTCCCTGGTATTGAGCTTGAACACATTTCAAAACCAAATTCGTAAGTCAAAAAAGAATCCCCATCTATACCAACATTGTGAATTAGCAAAAGTCTGGAATTGCTAGGCCTGTTTTATTATTTTGATTTCTATTTCTCCATTCTTATTAAATCTTATGAACATTTCCTCTCCTGATTTAATAAGACTAACTGATTCATGAGATGGAGTAAATATTACAATCCATAAATGGAGATATTAATGAGGACCCTCTAAAACTCAATGCCTGGTTCTGGTCATCAAACTTTGTTTTGATAATACTAAAAATCAAATTTTAAGCATTATATCCTGCATCAGAGAAAACTCACTAAACAACAAATTCCCCCGAAATAAACAGGGATGCCAGGCTGATAGGGTGGAAAATATCAGTGTTTGGTATTTTGCAGTAGAGCTGAGACTGTGTTTCTGTAATTTTTTTCCCTGTAGTGATGAAATGTAAAATTCATAAATGTAAAAGCTCCATGTTAATGTCAACCTCAAGTTTTCTCTATAATGTTAAATACCAGCCTGGTATCGCCACTTTAAAAGTGTCCAGAAAACTCCACTTTTTGAAACAGTTATGCATAAACATAAAGATGCGCACGAAAAACAGTAAGGTAAACAATTTGCCAGGGTCCCCTTTCCTTGCTACATCCTCCTCTTCAGTCTCACTCTTTCTTTCCCTTGGAAATAAGCATCTTTTTCAATTTTAGGCAGTAGCTACTTGTTTATAATTTGCACTTTTCTACCAATTCAGGTATATCTCAAGAATTGTGTTTTTAATAGGTTGATTTTAAACTTTAACTGAGTGGAGCAACATGGAATTATTTGGTGATGTCCTGGTGTTTTTGACACTCATTCACATTGGTGTCACCAACACATTTCATTAATCTTGCCAAATGTATGCTATGCTAAGATATAAATATATCATGATTTATATATCCATAGGTTTATGAACAATTTTGTTATTTCCTAATTGAACCAAATAGAAAAAATATTTTGCTGGGCATTGGTGGTGCATACCTTTAATCCCAGAACTTGGGAGGCAGAGGCAGGCAGATCTCTGTGAGTTCAAGGGCAGTCTGGTCTACAGAGCAAGTTCCAAGACAGCCTCCAAAACAATACAGTCTCAAAAAAACCAAAAAAAAAAAGAAAGAAAAAATATTTCTATGAATAACCCTATGTGATTTCGGCTACACAGTCACAAGCATCTCCCTAAGGCAAGCCTCTAGAAGAAGAGTTGTTGAGCTTTATGACTTGCACAATTTCAACTTTCCTATTGCCAAGTCGATAATAACTGTCACACCATCAACAGCTGAATTCAGGATCCTGCTTCTCTGGATCCTCTCCACAGTGACACTGCCAGAGACTGAAAGGCTAGCCAAGCTGGTAGACAAAGTTCTGTGTCATGCTGTTATTATCTATGTTATTCTAATTATTGGTGAGTTTAACTAAAATGGTTCTTATTAAACATAAATGCTTAAAATTCTGTGGGGCTTGTGGTTGTTCTTTACTCTCTTTAATGAAGAGAAAGCTTTAATTTTATTGTAGCAAAATTTAAAAATCTCTCCTCTCTTCTTTAATCTAATTTACAATGTATTCTTTTGTAATTTAAGCCCCTAATTACATATTTATGGATTTTCACACTGAACCAACCTAGGATTGACCAATATACAGAACCAACTTCAGATATATTATCCTCACATGATTCTATAACTATGCCCATTGTTCAGTAACTCTGCTTTAATCCCACTGACAAATTTTTCTTCACAAACTGTCAAATGCTCTTCTCTGATGCACTTCAAACTCCTATTAACTGTTGGGGAACATGATCAGCCAAAAAAACACACCATGAGCAGAGCCAAAGAAACAAATTTTGGCCCTGCAACCAGAACCAAAGAAATGCACCCTGACCCTGAAAGCGGTGCCAAAGAAACACACCTTGTCCCTGGAATCAGAGTCAGTGAAAGAAATACATCCTGGCCCTAAACTAGAGCCAAAGAGCTAAAAAGGACTAGTGAAAAAAAAAACACACTTTGGCCTTGAAATCAGAGGCAAATCTGACCCTGAACTTTTGCAGTAAATTTACCAATCCCTGAGCCAGAGATATAGCCATGCTTACCTCAGGGATTGAAATCTGACCAATCCCCACCCTGTAAATCTCCCTGGAAAACCTCTGTCTCCCCCTCTAAGAATCCCTATAAGAACTGGCTGTCCCACTGGCTCCTTCTACCCCAGCCACTCTCCTGGATTATTTCCTCCCAATAAATGTCTTGAATGAGGTTTGGGTAGAGACCTTTTGTAGGGGAGCAGAGATGACCCTGGGTGGAGTGGAGTGGAGCTGAGCAACACTAACATTTTCTCACCAGGCACAGAAAAGTTGTTGTACTCTGCTCTCAGGAGAGCAGAGCCCCACTAGAACTATAACAACTTAGCTCCAGAAGCCCTCTTCTGCCAGAGCAGAGCTGCCACATTGGGAAGCCATTCCCTGGAGTTGAGGAAGCCCTCTCCCATGTGAGCTGATACACTAGGGAAGCCTTTCCTGAAGCAGGGCTGTAAGCTGCTAAACTTACTGTACCTGTGGTATTCCTTGGTTCCCGAGTACCAGAATACCTTTCCATCCATGCTGTAACACTCAGTATTTTGTGACTTCCCAGTGCCAGAATCCATGTCGCATTCAATCTGCACCAATACTTACGTTAACATTTCTAGAATCCCCTTGAATCTCAGTTCGAAACCAGTGAATATAGATGCATATCCCCTCATTTTTGCTGCATCATTTACATATTTTGCATTTCACTGTTCATTGTTCTTATTTCCTCATTATTAAATGAGACCATTTAATTATGTGGTTTCATCAATAAGAATTTTCTTCAGTACTGATCTTTCGGCTGCTCACTATGCTTCATTTGTGTGTGAATAGTAGGTTTCTATTCTAAGTCTGCTAATCCAGTTTTTTCCCCTGAGACAGAGTTTTTGTGTAGCTTTGCAGACCAGGCAGGCCTCAAACTCTCAGAGATGCATCTGTCTCTGCCTCCTGAATGTATTCACCACCACTGCCCAGTATTCTGACTTCATTTTTAAAGTAGTGTACTTATGGTTAAAAATATCTCTGGTTCCTTTTCAAATCTTTTTCCTTCTTTACATTTTCTAGATTCTCTCATTTAAGTATATTTTATACTGTCAGTCTAATTTTTTCTGGAAGTTTTGATATGTGATAATGAAATTACTGATTTTACCCTGTTTTTGGTTTCTCTGCATTCTTATGCAAAACCTCTCTCTCTCTCTCTCTCTCTCTCTCTCTCTCTCTCTCTCTCTCTCTCTCTCTCTCTCTCGTTCTCTGTCTTTCCACTGTTCCTTACCCTATCTCTCCCCTTTCTCCCTTTCCACCTCCCAGTTTTATTTTTCTCTTGCTGGATCTTTAGTTTTAGTAACTCACTTTTCAGTCAGCTGTACCTGTGGGGTTTCTTTGAGAATGTGGTTAAAGCTTATATCCTTCAGTCAATCACAGGAAGAAATAGTATTTTTTTTTAGTTTCCTAATGGCATTGCTAATGGCTAACCATTTATATTAAACTCAGCAATTACATCCTTTCCAATATACATACAATATATTTGATACACTTCTTAAATTTGACACACTTCTTCATTTCCCATAATTTAAGTGATGTGTACAAAGAGGTGTATTTATTTATAATTTGTTTAAAACAGCATGTTAATCATTTAAAATGGAAAGTTTATTTGGGATGGTTAATTTGATATCACACAGGAACCAGTAAGGTGCACAGATATAAAACATCCTTTCACCTCATTGTTTCAAAACCTACAATTTCTTTCTTAAATTTAAGGCACTTTCCTCAGTATGATGGATGTATTGTACAAGGTTCTGTTGTAATAGTAATTCTGGGATTATTAATTGGGAATTTCCAGAAATGCAATTAGATTAACTCGTTCATTTTCAGAGTCAGATTGTAGATTGCATAGAGACCTTTATGCAAGACAATAAGTACAACTAAAAAAAATAATACCTAGGTGGTATTGCAATAGTCTGCTGCTATTTTTAAGTTTCTGTGGTAAAAGGCTCTAAGCAGCAATCTCCACAACATAAAAAATCACAGACATCAGAGGCCCAAGAGCCTCATGAGGAGTTCTGAACTTTTCACTGGTTTGGTTAGCGCTCAGGTTCTAATATTCCCCACCAGCCTCACTTGAATGTAGCAGCTTCTCCACTGACATTAAGGTAATTTACTTAGTCAAATCCTTTCATCCTTTCTTCAGTTCATGGTAATTTGTCATCCGCATCCCTTTCCTATTTAAGCCACCCTGGAACTATGAGTTTGCACTTGTCATCCCTACCTTATTTAGATTTATCAAATATAAATTTGATGTAACTATGATTCTGAATTTCTGAATCCCACCCTAAAGCAAAAGATTCATGAAAAGGTAATTTGTTTTTCACATCAACATGTTGAGGTTACCTGAATGGGTCTTCCATCTGGAGTCAGAACCTCTTCTGATAGTTCCATCATCTTTAAGGCCATTAGAGCAATGGGTTTGGCATGGCATAGGCTTTTTCTATGCAGCCCTGCTGCAACGCAGTATGCGTCCCCTATTGTTTCCACCTGCAGTAATCAGACAAATCAAATAGCAACATAGAGTGAATAAGAAAAAATGGTTATCTGCAATCACTAATGGTGCTGAAAAACATTTCAGATAGACATCAATAAATTAAACAATTAGACAACTGGGTGTAATCATAATCGAGTTTGCAAACATTTACAATCTAATACTGAGTTCTCACTCCAGGTTGCTCATTATTATGACAGATGATCCTTGAAATTAGGAATGCTTTGAATATGATTATCCCTCCAAAAACAGAATTGTCAGTATTTTACGTGGATGGTTCCCAAATGAACTGAAGAGGCATGTATCTTCTTCAAACTTTCAATAGTCTTTCAAAAACTTGTGTTTCTTCTCTTCAATTTTTCTACCTTTCCAGTTGCCCCAGACTTCTACATTGCATTAATTTGTAATTTCAACTCAAGACTGCTTTCACCTACTGTTAATAATTTTAATACTAAAATTTATTAAAATCATACTCATATATAAGCATTTTATATACACTATGTATAATTACATGAAATAAACTGCTGTAAGAAATTATTATATTTCATCTGAAAAATGTGAAATAGAAAGGCAAAAAAAAAACCAGCCATAACTTTACAATGAAGCAAATAGTTACCAGTCCCTGTTAGGGTATTCTCTGGCCCGAATCTATATCCATTGTTAGGATATATGCTAACAGGTCATTGGTGTTCAATTAATTAAAATATTGATCAAATATTAACTGTCCTAGATGTGAGGCCATCAATAGTCATTCCTACTGGAGTTAGAAGCAGATTCGTGTGTCTAGTTTTCAATGGGTTCTAAAAATCCAAACTAAACAAGTACTGTGATCCAACAAGCTGTCTTCAAATCCCTTAGCCTATTTATTTCTACATTTTTAAATTTTGCAAGGTTGCCAGCTATTTCTCCAGAATCACAATTTAAAAAGTAATTTATTAGTATGAATTACATGACTGACTACTGCAGCCGGTTTGAAAATATATCTTCCTACTTCACAACTTCTTAGAATTCCTGTTATCATCACATTTAATATTTTCAACCACTTCACAAAAAATGGACTTTTCCATGTATGAATTTCTATAGTTTGTATGACAAGCCCTAATAAACCATAGAGAGGGCTTATCAAATGTTCAGTTGATAAAAATCATGAAATCTTGAGAACTCCCAATAACACCCATAAAAATCTATGTGTGATAGTGTGTATTCATATTCTTAGTGCTGGGAGTAGGGAAAAATGTAGATTTTTGAGTGTTCATATCCAAATCAATTATTTCAACCCCAATGAGAAACCCTTTCTGAAATACACAAGATGGATCACTCCAGAGGATTAGTATCCAAAGCTGTTATATGCACATATACCTGCCCAAGCAAGCATGGTGTCTCTCTCTGTCTGTCTCTCTGTCTGTCTCTGTCTCTGTCTCTGTCTCTCTATCTCTGTCTCTGTCTCTCTCTGTCTCTGTCTCTGTCTCTCTCTCTCTCTCTGTCTCTCTCTCTCTCTCTCTCTCCCTCCCTCCCTCCTGGCACTACTTACCAAAGAAGGCTAAAGCTTTCACACCTACAGCTATTCTACTGGAGTCCTATGGTTGCCCTGAATGCTCCCCAGATGTGACAAAGACAGATGCAATTTCTAAAGAATCACCCACTAAAGCAAGTCAATAGGAACACACTTAGTGTGCAGGATATGGAAAAGATCAAGCCACTGTGAGCACAGGAAATAAATAGGAATATTTGGTGAGTAAAATCCATGAATGCAAGAACCGTTGATTACATAAAGAATGTCAAATGTCTAGATGTTTGTAGCATGTAAAGAATATATTTGTGTGTGGTTTTATTTTGATTTATTGTCTCTTTCAGACACATTCAGCATTTTAATCAGAAAACATAGGTTAATATCAACCCCTGTGTAACGGGATGTTTCTTGAAAGCTTTATTTCCCTCTTCTTCCTTCATTGAAAGCAGATTTATGTACATTTAGTAGACATATATATGCAAAGACCTTTTGGGAGATCCTCTTCAAAATAATGTGTTGTTGTTGAATTCTAAATTTAAAGCACCAAGGTCTGATAAGAAACAGAAGGATATTCCAATAATTTTGTACCTATTGTGGTTTACTATGTTGCCAAGTATGTCGTCAGTTTTACAGAAGGTACCATGTGGTGCTGAGAAGAAGTCATATTCTTTTGTGTTTGGATGGAATGTTCTATAGATGTCTGCTAACCCCAATTGGGTCAAAACTTCTGTTATTTCCTTTGTTTATTTCTTATGTTTCTGTCTTATGGTCCCGTGAATTGTGTGAGGTTTTATGTGTGATTGGAATTTTAGTAATGTTTCTTTTATGCTTGTGGATATCTGTGTATTTGGAGACTTCATCTTGATGGATTTCTCTTGTGATGAATATGAAATGATATTCTTCATCTCTTTTGATTGATTTATTTTGAAGTCTAATTTGTAGCTATTAGGATTGATACACCCACTTGTTTCTTGGGTTCATTTGCTTGGAAAATCTTTTTCCAACACTTAACTCAGAGGTACCGTCTGTCTTTGAAGTTGAGGTGTGTTTCTTGCATGCAGCAGAAGGAAGTATTCTGTCTTTATATCCATTCCATTAGCCTGTGTCTTTTTATAGAGGAGTTTAGATAATTAATATTGTGGGATATTTATGATCACTGACATTTGGATTTGTTATTGGTGGTGGTATTGTGTGCAGATTTCCTCCCTTTTTTCTTTTGTCCATTGGTAAATTGGGATTATCTATTGCCTATGTTTTTGTAGGTGTACTTAAGTAGCTTAGGCTCAAATTTTTCCTTCCAGAACTTTCTGTAGGGCTGGGTTAGTGGGCATGTATTTTATAAATCTGATTTTGACATTGAATATCTTGCTGCCTACAGCTATAGTGATTGAAAGCTTTGCTGTGTACAGTAGTCTGTGCTGGCATGCATGGTCTCTTAGATTTGGTAGACTAGGTATCCAGGACTTTCTTTCAGAGTTTCCATTGGAGAAATCAGAAGTAATTCTGATACATTTGCCTTTACATGTTAATGGCCTTTTTCCTTTGATATGCTTAATATTCTTTTTTATTATATATGTTTGGTGTTTTGATTATCATGTGTCAAGGGAAATTTTTTGTGGTTCACTCTATTTCGTGTTCTGTAAGTTTCTTGTACATTCATTGGCTTGCCTTTCTTTAGGTTGGGCACGATTTCTTCTATGATTTTGTTGAATATGTTTTGTGCACTTTTGAGTTGGGTTTGTTCCCTTTTATAGTGTCCATTATTTCCTGTATATTTTGTGTAGGGATTTGCTGGACTTAAGACTTTCTTCGGTCAATAAATTGATTTCTCCTAGAGTATCTTCAATGCTTGAGATTATTTTCCATCTCTTGTATTCCTGATTGTTTACCCACTTTTTATATTTCCAGCATTTGCTCAGACTGTGATTTTTTTAATTTCCTGTATTTCAGCTTTTAAAACTTGCACTGTTTGTATTGTTTCTTGCAATTTTTGGTTTGTCTTCTCCATTTTTTGAATTTTTGTTTTTGTTTTTCCCTTCCATTTCTTTAAAGATTTTCTCATTACCTCTTTGAGGATTTTTATCATCTTCATAAAGATTTTTTGGAGTCTTTCTCTTCTGCTTCATCTGTATTGGGATGTTCAGGTTTCGCTTCTGTGGGGTCCCTAAACTATGGCGGAATCATATTGATCTTTCTGTTGAATACTGTGTTCTTATACTATCATCTACCCATTCCTTTCCCCAGGGAGTACTGGTAGGGTCTCTTCATTTCCTGGTGAGTACTGGACCCAGGTTCTCTTCCATTGGATTCAAGCAGGTCCAGTATTCTGATGGCTCTCCTCTTCCTGTGGTTGGAGGCAGGGGAAGTATCACAACATTGGCTGACTCCAAATGGTCTGTTCTGATGGGATGGGTTCCCCAGTTTTCAGACTCGAAACTTCAGGAGGCTCAGAGCAAGGCATGGGAAGGTGTGCTGGAAACAGGCCTATGCTATCCTCATTCCATGGGTAATTGAGGGACTAGTATTGCTGTTCTACCCATATGGATCTCTCCCCACCTATTCCTATTTGCAGTTCCCAGTCCTCAGGAGGCTCCCAGTAGTGCATTGTTTTAAGTACATAAGACACAATCAAAAACTGTGCGTCTCAACTACTTAAGTTTCTCCAACTTGCTCAGGTAGCACCACATAAGAATAAAGATTTTTCAGTGAAGCAGGGAGGTGAGGAGAAAGTAACACTTCTAAATATCTGAAAAAAATCCTTCCCTGAATGAAGAAGAAGATAAAGTAAGGTCAATAGAGCATATGACTATTGTCCATCATATTACCATAGCTGTTCCACCTATGTCCATATATCTCTTCTTTACATTTTATTGTAAATATTAACATTGTTCAAGAGATAAAGGTGACACAAATTAATTTCTGAGAGCTTTGAGTCTACTTCCTCTAGCTTAAGATCACTTTCAAGTGTTTATCTGTGATCTGACCACAATTGACTAATATCTATTCCTCCTATCCAAGTTAATGCTTTGATGGAGGCAGGGTTATATGCTTAACTTTCTTGGTTACAATTGTAATGGACAATGTATTGTCACGATCACAAAGTAAACTGTGTGTGTGCTTGCATTTATATTCCCCTAAAAATAAAGTTTGAATTAACCTCATGTCATGTCTGATACCTCAGTATCAGTCTGTCTAATCATGCTCTCAATTGCTCTCAGTTACAAAACTTACTGGATAGTAATATCTCATGTTACCAAATAAGTGTTTCAAATGCAAATTTCAGGCCTGTATTTAGCAATTTCCTAGCTTTTGTAAAGGTCCTCTGAAGTATAAGCTCCAAGATATTAATGATTCCTCAAACCAGATATGACCTACAAATTATACAGTTTTCCCTCATTGGTTCATTTTGTCTAAAGGAGAAAAACATTCTTATCCAGAGGCACCACCCAAACTATCTTGTACTGTCTCATCTAGGGGAAATGAACT